GTTTTACCAAGAGTTGAGATATAAATACATCCCAAGTTATTATTATACACTTCCCTCACCCGAAAAAAATTATATCACTATTACAATTACAAAATGTAGTAATCTTGCGTAACATTTCTAAATTTATTTTTCTCGCCACAAAAAAACGTAATACAATTATTTTGGTCTGACAGTTCATGTTCTTTTCATATTTTCTTGTTCTTTTTCAGTCACTGTAAAATGATATTGTCCTCTGAAACATGTCATGTAATTACAATGAGTATACCTTGAGGCCGGAGGCCTACAGTATTATGAATAAATTTATTATATATGAAAATATTGGTAAGAACATGCCTGACACAGATTCAGCGCTCACTAAACAGGTTATCGTACATGTTAACCAGCAATATGCCAGATTAATTTAATCAGTCAGTGCACCATCTTGGGTTCCCCCATCTTGACTGGTACGTGATCCACACATGACCAACTGTTTTTCACGATGCTTGGAAACAAGTCACATAACATAATTATTCTACTTTTTTTAGATAGATACCTTAATTATTGTTAACACAATCTACATTGAAAAAAACCCACGGACTACAACTATAAAGAAGACAAGAGAACATCAAATAAATACATAATTAGTACCCAGGTCAGGCCGCAAGATGGGAGTTTCATTACTGTGCAATGAACTGTCCGAGCAAGGACAAGTCAAGAAAAAGTTCTATTTTTTTTAACAGATCAGGTGTTGCTTCAAGAATGATAATGTTAATGAAATTATTATTATCAGAAAATTTCTGTGATTGGCCATCTAATTTTACCAATGATTTTCCATAGTTACAATCATTGAAATCACTACCTGGTTCAGTTTTGTGACATACATTTCAAACTTGACTTGACAGAATCCAAGAAAAACCAAGGACAGCCCGAAATGTGACACCAGTTTGATTTAGACTTGAATGGTCTCAAAGATTTTGACATGTATATGCAAAGTTACTTAAAAAAGATATACTTGAAACCCACACACCTGACTAATCAGACGGATGTTCAAAATTCTGCCTTGCATATATCAATATACAGAGGAGAAAGAAGAAGAGTACAGCAAAAAGGTGACAGCAAAGAAAAGAAATAAAAAAAAATCGGACTAGCAAAAAGTTCATGATGGCTGCTTTCCAAATAAGAGTTCATTTCTTTTGCACCTGAAATTGCCAAAAAAAGAATACTGTATAAACGGAGAAAAATAACTCCCACAGATTTCAGAATATCTAACAATTATAATTTCAAACATACATCTGTATATCTGGGATACAAAGCCCAGTAGGTAATGTAATGGGTGCAGAAGCCTGCCGAGTGATTTTTTTATTATGATTTCGTGAAATAAGTCTCGAGAGTTGTAGACTTTGGTAATAGAGTTATCGGTAGTCACGATTACAAGCTCTTATTGATAAAGAGGACTAACATAACCATTCATTGTTTTATTTTTCTTTAACACATTAAACAGATTAAATGCAAGCAAAATATAAAGATGTGTTCAACCCCAACTTAGTTAGTGTGATTCGTCACAACTCCCGGGGAAATTTACCCCCCTCAAACAAAGCCATTGCAACATTATTTTTTAACACCCGTTTATAAATGCTGATTCCATACTGTAACCGTGTTGAATTTCAAGACTGGAAAGTATCGTAGTAAAAATATGAAATAGAACATGTTATATTAATACACAAGAAAAACATACCTTTGTGGCAAATCGCAATGATGATAACGTTTCCGAAACGCTCTCTTCTCTTGGAGAAATATTCACAATTATCAACCTATAGAAGAAAGAATGTTCACATTCTTTAGTTTAGATACAGTACACCTTTCCAGCTCATGCCCTCAAGTAATGGAAGAAATGTCAGGTTAAAACTCTTACTCTAAGGGTACAAAGATTGTGTGTTGTGACGTCATTTTTAGAAGAGAATAAGAAACACATTTGTGAATTTAAGGCTCAGATAAAAAAAAACAAACAAAAAACAGTAACATAAAACATTTATCATCCATTATTATACTCCACAACTAATCATTAAAAACATCGATAGATGTCTGTGTTCTCCCCAGCATTCAATTTGTGTGCGGGGCCGCCACGCTGCTTTTCCTGCCCCCCACTGTGGTCTTGAGCGCCACGGTGATTTTTTCATTGTTCATCCTGTGAACTGTATTACGAAATATAGAAAGAAATACGTAGCTATCAGTGATCTTGCCACGCTTCCGACCAGGACTATTGTCCGACGTACCGACCGACACGCATCCTGCCAGTCGTGGATTATAAGGTTTAGTGAAACACTTAAAATTCCTCAGAAGGAATTAAAATGGTTACACTAACTGCTAAAACACATATATAAAACATACAAATTTTACAAGAATTACTGTCTAAAGCAATGGTTTAAAAAATAAATCAACATACTACAATTACAAAAATATGATTATAATTTGTAAACAATAGACGTAGTCGCACGATGTGGTAGTGGCTTATAAACAATACAAGTTAATTTTGTAAAATTAGCACCTCTTTGTTCGTAAGTAAATACTTTGACGATCGACACAGTCTTTAGATTGAAAGCTAACATTTTTTCAAAATCAATTCCACCCCGATATAACATGGGCAAAGCGGAGTTCACGATCAGTTTACGCCACTCAAGAAAAAAACGACGTGTTTATTGCGTGATTGGGTAAAATACATTTGAACTTTTATCATCGCGAATCATGTGAAAACTCTTCTTTCAAGACTTCTTATACCTTTTAAAAATTGCTTATCACCTATTTCGAAAACCATCATGCAGTTTTCATCTGAAATCCATACCAACACATCGTGCTACAACATCGCTTTACTTCCGCAATGTAATTTTTATGATCACTACCATTCGGAAAACTTTGGGTTCTGCCGGCATTACCATGCGGTATTCTGATTGGTTAATGGCGTTTTTGACCCATCGGGTCAAAGGACACATGCCAGTAAACTAATGCGTCACAATTATCATGGCGTCTGTGTTTTTCACCGAAGAGATTGAGTGATCAAAAATAATCGCTCTAATTTTACGTTTATTTCATATAAAACAAGTCATTGAAAATGACAGTCCCTGTTAAATTAAGTTCTCTTTGTGCTCGTCATATTAAAGTGGAGGGGTTGTCGCGAGCGTGTCCTTGAAACTTAAGTTCCAAGTGGCGTATACAACAGATTGTTTATTTACATCAAAACATGTGTTCCGTGTAGTAGTAATATGGCCAATAATAAAAACAGCCGTTATTCGGCCATCTTTGTTCTGATTATGAAACACACTGATATATATGATGTATGTGCCAAATACAAATGAAAATGGTACATAAATTGTGGAAATATAGTAGTAAGGCCAAAAAGTCAGATGGCTGTCAATCGGCCATCCTTAACCAGATTTTGAAACAAATTGTCATGGACATACATCCTAACATGTATAAAGTACATGTATGTGCCAAATTTGAATGAAAACTGACAGAGCACGTCTAAGATACCGCATGAAAAAAAATGAAAAAAAATGCCTGCCAGTCGACCATCTTTGATCCAATTGCGAAATAAATCGTCATGGACATGTATCCTAACATGTATAATCTATGTACCAAGTTTGAATGACAACTGACAAAACATGTCCAAAATACAACATTTTCAAAAAACAAGATGGCTGCCAGTCGGCCATTTTGAATCGAATTGCTAAACCACTGCATGTGCATATGTCCCACATAAGGTACTAGGCACATGCAAAGAATGAACGGAATCAGTCCACAGGATTCTGAAATATGACTGGACAGACTGAGGGAGGGACGGACGAACACACGGATGGACGGACAGACTCAGGAACTCACGGACGGTCGGGACATGTATCCTAACATGTATGACCTATGTACTGAATTTGAATGAAAACTGACAAAGCATGTTCAAAATACGACATTTTCAAAAAACAAGATGGCTGCCAGTCGGCCATCCTTGATCCAATTGTGAAATAAATCGTCATGAACATGTATCCTAACATGTTTAATCTATGTACCAAGTTTGAATGAAAACTGACACAGCATGTCCAAAATACAACATTTTCAAAAAACAAGATGGCCGCCAGTCGGCCATTTTGAATCGAATCGCCAAACCACTGCATGTGCATATGTCCCACATAAAGTACTTAGCACATGCAAAGAACGAACGGAATCGGTCCAAGGGATTCTGAGATATGACTCCGGACGGACGCACGGACGCACAGACAGACGGAGACCGAATTATATGTCCCCGTTTTCGGACTTCGTCCGAACGAGGACTAAAAAGAAGTAACATTTTTTGCGTGGCATGACTGAGTAAGAGGAATTATTGGTATAGCCGGTGTATAACATCGTGAAGTAAGTTAAGTCACGTCGTAACTTTGATGATCGTTTGGAAGTTTTATTTGTTCGTTCATTAATGTAAATGTAAACGTCCTAGAAGCTGATGGTACAAATAATGAACAATTGTTTGAAGGAGAATGTTTTTGTAGTAAATAAGATCATGGAAGTCGAGAACATATTCCTGGCTGAAACGTTTCAAATGCGTTTCATTTAGTCTTTTACAATCTATTTCTTTGTTTGTTTGTTTGTTTGTTTTTAATAATCTGCAGCATTTGCATTTCAGTTCGACAATTTTTCATTTTTAAATTCAAACTCTTCTATTTTGACTCCAATAGAAAAAATATTTACACTGTGACTGAGCTCATTAATATCCCAAAAGAATAGTGTTTATAACACTGTATGAAACAAATAAATATGTGCCACATTGTTTTTGAAAATATATGTTGTTTGTTATGTGGGTGTAAATGTGCTTTGGTCAATCTCTATTATTATATAAATGATATGCAAATCATATGCAAATTAGTCCGCAACAGTGGTTTAAATTTCTGGGCAGAACGCTGGATGTATTGATAAGAACCAGTAAACAGTGTTCGCCTTCATCACAAGATTAACTCACATCTGAATACACCCAAACTAAACCACTTTATATGAACATCATCTGCATATAATTAGAGTAGTCCAATGTATGCATATTGCACATCAATTCATCAGTGTATAGTTAGAGTAAAAGGCCAGCAGTCTTACAGCAATTCCAGGCGCTGATGTGACGCTGAGGTAGTGCTAGATGTTGATAACTTACTACAATAGGTTACACACTTTGTTTTCACATTTACATACGTTGTTACAAATAATGCAGACAGCATG